CCTAGATGGTTCCCTCTAGATGGATTGTGCAGTTTCTGCATGTGGTGTACCTTGCTTCCATCTCTGGCCCCACATGGTCCCTTGAATACCAGGTGTGGCCCCGGAGGTCCTCCATGCACCTCTTGGGTTGTAGGGACAACCCAGCACTGCTGGTCCCAAGCAGCACCACATCCTTGGCCCAATCACTGATGATCCCTTATTGGCTAATTGGCTGAGAATTGCTGGAGGTGACATCTGGGCCCCTTGAGAACAGCTTAACATGCCCCCCCACCCCAAGTAAGTGTGTGTGTGTGTGTGTGTGTGTGTGTGTGTGTGTTTGTAATACTCACCTGAATTCCCATCAGGCTTTAAAAAATTACCTATTTACAAATAAATCCTGCCATATTTTGCAGCCCCATCTTTCCAACCCATCTCCCACCCTCCAGGTTACCTTAATTCTGTTGTCATTTGGGTTTTTAAAATTTAATTTTGTCCATAAAATTTATATCCTGCACATGGATGAGATTATCTAATATTTGTCTGTTACATTTGTTTTGTTTTGTTTTGTTTTGGGGGATTACACTAGCTGTACTGGCCGTACTCAGGGCTTTCTCATGACTCTGCACTCAACGATCACTCCTGGTAGTGCTCAGGGGATCATATGGTGCCAGGGATTGAACTGAGTCAGCTGCATGCAAGGCAGCCACCATACGCACTATATTATTTATCCAGCCCCATTTTGTTTTATTCCTTTTGACTGACCTCTCTTTCCATTGGCCCCTTGATATCATTCCATTTTACTATAAATGGCAATTTTAAATCATTTTTATAGCTGAATAGTATTCTATTGTATAAATATACCCATCTTCTTTTTTCATTGCCAGAGATCAAACCTATTTCTCATATACATGAATACCTGGTTTTATTAAAATATCTGCTAATTTTTTTTTGGTTTTCGCTGGTTCTTCATTCCAGGATCACTTCTGGTGGACTTGGGGGACCACTTGGAGTGCCAAGTATGGAACCCTGGGCATCCATATGCAAGGCATGAGCCTTATCCACTATGCTATCTCTCTGGCCCCTTTTCACTACTTTGTGAGAAATAGTAAGTCAGTGCATTATACCACTGTTTTCATATGTGAGCAATAATTATTAGTTATCAACAGGTAATGTGTTGGAAATAACATAAAATGTAGTTCTATAGTATTATCTTTCACATTTTTCCAAACTATGACATATGCCTGCTCTCCCAAAAATAATGCTGAGAGAGAACAAATGAAGATCCTGAGAAACTTATGTGGGGATACTGAAGGCAGTTAGCAAGATGACTTCAGGAAGAATATGTTTCTCCAATTCAAAGACTTTTACGCCAACACTGTTTCTTGTTCCTTTAGAATTTCTAGGCGTGAGCATTCACAGTTTTGACTGATTGTAAGTTTTATCTTGAAGTAGGGAGGAAATTTTTGAAGACCCTGATAGATAAGGGATGAAGCACATGATTGCGTGCATGATGCATGAACTCCACTCCCTAGCTCTGCATGGCCCCCAGCATGAGGGCCCCCAAGAACTTCCAGTTGTTTTGGGGAGGGTCCTTATGTTGTATATAGGCAGTAAAATTCTGTGGTCTGATTCTGGTGCATGCATGATGGGGCACACAGACGTCACCACAAACTGGCTGTCTGCAGCCCTTCTTCCTTTGTTGTTGCTCACCATTGATGTTATAAATATCCAAAAGGCCCTTGGCAGAAATTATGTTGCTCACCCCTGCTTTAGACCTTTGAAAATCAACTGAGAATCAGACTTCCAAATGAATGCCTCCCCTTGTATTTTTATTAAACAGCAGCCATGGTCTGGTTTGGAAACAGTATAGTGAGACTCCCTCCCCAGATGCACCTTACCCACAGAGGAGTGTGGAAACCAAATCTCTTCTTCTCACAAGGCTTCACCTACCCTCCTTTGTTGGTGTTCTCTTCATTTCAGGCCTCAGCTCTCTATTTAATACAATTGAAATGGTACTTGATCATCAGGATCATAATCCCAACAGCAGTCATAGTTGCAATGCAAAACACCCAAAGAGTTACCATTTGCCATGGATTAGTTCTGTGCCCCGGAATCATCAAGAATAGTTCACAGATACCATTTGTTTGACCCTGCAACTGGAAGAACTGAATGAAGTCATTTTTCAGTTGAGGAAGTAGTGGCTCAGAAAAATGAAAGGACTTGCCTTTAAGTCTCTCACTTAGCAAATCGCAGTTTGTGAATCTAGATCCTTTTGGTTGAAAGATCTGTAAGAAATTAACCTGGAATGTAATATTTTGCTGACATTTGATGTTTATTTTTATTTGGGGGGAGGGGTCATACCGAGCAATGCTCAGGGCTTACACCTGGTTCTGCTCTCAGAGATCACTCCTAGTGGGGTTTAGGGGACAATACAGGATACCAGGGTCAGCCGCTTGCAAGGTAAGCACCTTATTTACCATATGCTGGCTCATGTGGTCTGATGTTTTTAAAAGACACGGGGCTGGAGCCCCAGGAGGCAGGTTGAATCTCATTCTTGGTATTTCCCCGATATGAACTTTTTCTAATCTTTAGTTCCTTCTCATAGACTTCAGCTCCCACTTGTATAATCAGGAGGAACAAATCAAATCTCCTAATTTCCCAAGTGTATCAGAACAGTGCATTTCATGGGGCTGAGGATAGGGACCATTCTTGGTGGCTTTGGGGTCCCTTAGAGTTCTAGAGACTAATCCCTCCCTCCTGCATAGAAAGCATGTGCTCCAGCCCGTTGAGCTCTATCCCCAGACCAGTAATACAGTTATTGACTGATTGTAAGTTTTATCTCAGAGGGGGAATTAACAAGAATTTTTGAAGACCCTGATAAATAACTGAAAGGGATAAAGCACATGACTTATATGCATGATTCCTGAAGTCCAGTCCCCAGCCCTGCATGACCCCAGCATGAAAGCCCCCAAGAACTGCCAGTTGTTTTCTGGGGATCCTCAGCACCTCAGGGCACACCTCTTCAGAATAAGGAACACTAAAATTATGAGGCCTAACTACAGAGCCAATTATCATCAGGAGTGGCTCTCAGGCTCCCAAGAACTGCTGAGAAGACCCCCCTCAGACACAGAGATAAAGTTAAAATGAGGGAATTTTTGAAATAATATTTTTAAAGCAAGGGGTAAGAGAACGAAACAAGACAAAATTGAGAGGTACATATGACACATCCTACTGATGGAAAAGGGAAGAAATTTGTTTTAATTATATTAATCACCAATTTTGAAAATAACGCTAATGATTCACAATATACTACAGGCCTTAAATTTTAGAAAGCATATTTGGGGACCCAGGGCATCTGCCTTTTATGCTCAATTTCCTTAAAATAGAAAATAATATTTATACCACTAGCTATTCCATGAATACTAGTACTAATGCTTTCATGAGAAATGACCTGATATGAATTGTTAGTGTCACTTTCATATTATGAATCACTTTCAGACATTACATAAGCATTAGTTTTCTTAGAAACCATTGCCTAACCTGAACATGCATTTTATGAAAAACTAATTGAGCTGACCTAAAGTAAATTTTATTAATTTTTTTTAGAAATATTTAGAAAGCACATGCTTTCTTAGCATGTGGTAAGGTCTATAATCCCATTTGGATTCTGTGTCAGTATTGCTTTGCTGTATGAAAATTTCATCATTTATTTGAATTTCATAATTTACTTGAATTTCACATTAGGTGTGCTCATGCATACAATTTTAAAGCTCTAGTGTGTACAAGTATATTACAAGCTACAAGGTACTTTTGAAAGTATTCATTTGTTTTATGTAAAATAGAGGTAAAATAAAGCTGTGTGTGCATGCTAGGGAATCAAACCCAGGGACTCTTGTGTAGGAGGCATGTGCTAAGCCACTAAGGACATGTCTGCCCCCTTTGAGCATCTCTGTGGCTGTCTGAATTGCATATTCCCTCTAACTGGGTCTTGGAGCCTGTCCCTGCTGATGGATGAGCAGCTCTCAGCAGTGCTCTCGGCTGCCTTGTCATACTCTCCCCTGCACTCTGAAGCTTATTGCCTCTACCACACATATTTTCTTCCTCCTTATGTTGTTTTTTGTTGTGGTTTTCTTTGGGGGCCACACCTGGAGGTGCTCAGGGCTTACACTTGACTCTGTGTCAGGGATCACTCCTGGCATGATTAGGGAGGTGCCATATGGTGCCAGGGATCAGGCCCAGGTCAACCACATGCAAGGTAAGCAAGCACCCTACCTACTCTACGACCTCTCTTGTCCTGCTTTTAGAGACTTTTCACCTTTAATTTTCCTGAGCCAGAGTAAAAGACATCTCAATCTCCTCACTTCACTTTTAGGTCTGACATCATTTGTAATCTTGATCACACCAGGTCTGGAGAGTCTCCCTTGCATTATAGTAGAACTATGCAGGAACTGAAACAGGTGGCTCTCTGAAATAATGGGCTACCAAGTTCTATTTCAAAGAAAATGTTAAGTGCAGAACCTTGAAACAATGTTTAAAACAGAACATAAAAATAGAGTTGCAAAGGCCAGTGAGATAGTACAATGGCTAAGGCACTTGCCTTGCATTTGATTGACCTGTATTCAGTCATATGTTACTCCATATGATCGGTCCCCTGAGCTCTGCCAGAAATGATCCCCGAGCAGAGAAGAGCCAGGAGTAAGCCCTGAGCACTGCCAGGTATGGCCCAAGTTCCTCTCCTCCAGAGTTTCATTTTAAAATTGGAAACATGGTGACATTTCCAGAATTCCATCTTAATCGGCTCATTTGTATTAATTTAATCAGATAATAGCCAGATTTGCCTTTAAATTGATCCTGTAGGTGCAGAATCCTGACTTAACTGTGATGCTGCTCTCCAATTTAAAAAGGAAATCAACAATGTGTTTACTTTTCATCCTTGTTCCAACGCACACACACAAAAATTATAAAAAAAAAAGGTTTGGAGTTTTGCTTTTGTTTCTCTATTCATAAACTTTATTTTTCAGATCTGCTTGGAACTATAGAGGAAATCCTTCCAGACATCCCAGAAGGAATCAGTGTCTGGGCAATGAAAGATTTGGTCCCGAAAGGAGTAATTTCACTCAAAGAAAAACTGAGCACTGCATCTGACAAGCCCGTACCACGCAGCCACCATGTGACTTCAAGCCTCAAGTCCCCTTGCCTGTACATCTTTACCTCAGGAACCACGGGTATGGTCCATTTTCTCTTAAAACTTAAAAAGAAAATAATGAGGTTGCAAAGCATCTTCTGTCTTGTGTGGTCCTCAAACTGCTAAGAAAGAATGCCTCCAAAAGCACCATTGTTTTTCCTCCAATTTTAGAACTCTCAGGCATGGATGAAAGAGCTAATTGCTTTACCTTTAACTTGTCAAGCTCACGTGTTCACTCAGTTGTTGTCAAAGTTGTTTGAAATATGGTAGTACAAGGGACACTTGAGTGTCAGAAGATTTTGACCTAGCACATTGGAAATAGTGAAACATGTCCAGTCTCTTTGGTCAGATCTTTGCTAGTGATATCTGTCCCTTAGATTCCAAATACATAAAATGAATAGACCAAATATTTATTATTGTTCTTTGGGATTATGAGACTGATGTGGGTAGGGCGCTTGCCTTACATGCAGCTGGCTTGGGCCGACCCCGATTCTATTCCTCCACCCCTCTCAGAGAGCCCAGCAAGCTACCGAGAGTGTAGCGCCCACACGGCAAAGCCTGACAAGCTAACCATGACGTATTCGATATGCCAAAAACAGTAACAAGTCTCACGATGGAGATGTTACTGGTGCCCGCTAGAGCAAATTGATGAACTATGGGAGGACAGTGCTACAGTGACTAATATTGTAAGCCAAGTTACAGTATTGTATTAGTAGATATTTATTACTGTTTTCTTCTTATTTTTTTTTCCTTTCTGCTATGTGAAGCCTGGTGATGCTCTGTTTAAAAGTGGAGAGTAGACTGTATTTTTGACCATGTTAAGAACAAGAGATTGTTCTTAATAAATTGCCTGGAAAAATACTAATATGTCAGCAAATTACCAGCATAAATTCAGTCTAGTCTTGGTCTCTGTCAGAGAGTATATGGTTTTGGAATTGAATTGCTCTGCTTTGAAATCTTCCTGCTAAGGTTCTTAAGCATTTGTCTTTATAGTTGTTTTCTTATGAAAAGTGACACTGGGCTGTAAAACTGCCCTTCTTCTTCCACTCTCCTTTTCACCTTAAAGAAAACGACAGTGGACTGGCCATGACATGCTGTGAAAAGCTTTTGTTGCTCACAATAAAACCAAAGTGTTCTATAAAAATGCACAACATGAGAACAAATCCAGTATCCAGGACCGGCTTTTTCCCTATTTGTTACCTATTTGTGTTAGTGCTGTGTGGCATAGAGATAAACAAATTTAAGAGCTTTAGAAATTTTAGAGAAAAGTATCATATTCATGCCCCTGTTTTTCCATCCCTAGACCAACAACATTCAATATTTTTATATCTGTGTAATCTTCTCCATATCTCTAAATAGAATGGGTTTTCTTAATGCCTAATTGATATTGGACCTGAGGGAAAATTCCCCCAAATTCTCCCTTCCCAGGCTTCTGAAGCAAACAAATCAAGGTCACATAGATTAGTAGGACAGAAAGACCAAATCCAGTGATGCAGCTAAGGAAAATTTACTTGGCTGTAAATTCTAGAGAAAGTGAGTCCGGGTTCTGTAATCTGAGGTAAGGGGTGAGACGGGGCCTGGTGCATCAGTGTGAAAGGAGGGGACCTCAAAGTTTAAGGAGAGGGTGACAATATAACAAAATCCTGCCTTTGTCATAACCTTTTTCAGAGGTTTCTTCTCGGAAAAGCCTCAAAAAAATCTTCTTGGATGAAAAATGAAATTTCTAGACACGACCCCCAATCTGAATCATCTTCATTCTTAAATGCGAGGTGAAATTTATTCTTAAAACTCAGCATGCTGAAAGTAGACTATAGACCAAACATGATTGCCACTCAATGCCTTTTTTTGCAAACCACAACACCCAAAAGGAGAGAGAGAACAAAAGGGAATGCCCTGCCACAGAGGCAGGGTGGGTGGGAGGGATACTGGGATCCATGGTGGTGGGAAATGGGCACGGATGGAGGGATGGGTATTTGATCATTGTATAATTGAAACCCAAGCACAAAATTTGTAAGTCTACAACTGTACTTCATGGTGTCTCACTAATAAAAATTAAACAAAACAAAACAAAACAAAAACACCTCAGAGATCACAGTTGCTGTTACTGCCACACACCAGAATGGTGGCTGGTGCTGAGAGAAGGCTGTCTCATTCCCGGGAGGCTTGTCCTCCATGAAGCTCTTCCTGAAAAGCATCATTGCTTTATATCTGTACACAGGGAGTTCATCTTCTTGTCTTTTTTCAGCTCCAGTTTTTCCTCCTCCTCCTCCTCCTCCTCCTCCTCCTCCTCCTCCTCCTCCTCCTCCTCCTCCTCCTCCTCCTTCTCTCTCTCTCTCTCTCTGTCTCTCTCTCTCTCTTTGTCTCTCTCTCTTCCCCTCTCTCTCTCGCCCTCTCTTCCCCATAATGTTTCATCAGGAATTTCAGCTTGATGGGGATGAACAGCATCACTTAATAAATGCCCTGCCCGGCCGAGCCCTGGTATGATAGAATGATGTTTCTTTCCTTTCATGTAAAACTCTCCCCAGTGTGAAACTGGTCATTGTTTTAATTACTTCGTTTGCTGGTTTGTCTATCCATCTGCAGCTGGGGGGTCATCCTTAACCCCTTGTCAAATGGAAGCCCACTTGTAGATAATTCAATGAGTCTGTTTTCTTGTTTTTTTTCTTTCTCTCGCTCTCTCTCTCTTTTTTTTGTGGGTTGTGTGGTCTTCCTCCCAAATAGTACTCAGGGGCCCGACTGCAATACACTGCTGCAATACACTGTTAACTGAGCCTGAGGGTTTATACCGGGGTCCAGAGATGTGGTGCTGCTCAACTTCTGTTGCATTTCATAGGGTCTGATAACTCATGCCTTCATTTTTATTTGTCTAGAGATGTTTTCAAATTTCATCTTTTGATTTTCTCCTTGCCCCAATCGTTATCCAATACCATGATGTTTATTTTCTAAATATTTGTGTTTTTCCTTTCTTTTGGTTAAATTATAGTTTCATACCATTGTTATCTTGAAAGATGTTTGATATGTTTTATATCCGTTTTCATGACTTTATTGAGAGTTTATTTTTGTCCTGATATATAGTATTCTTGAGAACATTTCATTTGCACTTGAGGAGATTATGTACTCTGTTTTATTGGAGTGCTCTGTAGGTACCTGTCATGTCTGTCCCGTATGATTTGATTCTAAGCCCTTTATTTCCTTCATGACTTTCTGTCTGTCATCAATATAAGTGGAATATAAGTGTCTTATTATTAACATGTTGCTTACAAGTGCTCTCTGTAAGTCTAATAACATATGTTTTAGTATTTTGGTCCTTCTATATTGGATGCATATATATTAGTGTTATATCTTCCTGTTAAACTGATCTCTATCATATAATGTTCATCTTTGTCTCTAGTTGAAATTTTTATCTGTAAATTGTTTTATCTGATAAAAATATAGTGGGTCCTAGTTTTGAAAATTTTTTAATTTGTTTGTGATATCATTTATCTATCTCTTCACTCTGTTTAGCTCAATAGTTTAAGTGAGTTACACAATTGAATTTGATGCAGGAGAGACTGTGGTGGGTTAGACCCCCATCTGGGGGTGCTTAGGAGCTACTCCTGGTTCTTTACTCTGGGGTCACTCCTGGTCATATTCAGGGTCCCACGTAGTGCCAGCAAACAAATAGAAAAAGCATGCACTCTGCTCTTTCAGCTCTCTCTCCAACCCCTGGGTTTTGGTTTCTTATTTTTATCTAGCCCCTCTGTGCCTTTCGGGTTGGTTAGTTCAGTTAATTTTTATTCTGATTATTATTGATCTCTGAGGGCTTGCTCTGACATTTTGTCTTTGGATTTTATTCTTTTAATTGCTTTGGTCAACATTTTGTGACCTTTCTTTGGTTTTATTTAGATAGACAAGAACCTTTTCAACGTTTCTTAGAAGAGAGATCTTGGGGTGGTGAACTCCTTCACTTTTATTTATTTGCTAAGGAAAAGCTGTCATTTATTCCTCTTCTGAACAAGAGCTTTGCCAAAGATTGTATTCCTTGCTGGCTGTTTTCATCTTTGAGTATCGTGAAATGTCAGTTGATTGCTAACTTTGCTAGCTGCGTGATGGAAATAGCACCTGCTTTTTAGAACTGCTGCTTTTCCCCCTAGTCACCTTTAATATTCTTGGGGGGTTTTAATTTGCATATTTTTATTGAAACAACATTGCATTTTAACTTTATATAAGTTTCAGATGTATAAAAAAAATCAATGTACTACATAAAGTTTGCAAGTAGAAGTCTGATTTTGTCCTTTGCTGTGCACTTGACCCCTAAATTCATGACCCTTTTCCCTCTTTGCATCTGAAGTCTTGGTCTTTTTCTTTGTCTTTGTCAAAGAAAAAGTCACTGTCTTTTTCTTTGCCAGCAGGTGCTTTAATAATAATAATAAATTTTCATTTTTATTTATATTGTATTAATAAAGTGTAGCACTGTAGCACTGTCCTCCCATTGTTCATAGATTTGCTCGGAGTGGGCACCAGTAACATCTCCATTGTGAGACTTGTTGTTACTGTTTTTGGCATATCAAATACACCATGGGGAGCTTGCCAGGCTCTGCTGTGTGGGTGGGATACTCTCAGTAGCTTGCCAGGCTCTCAGAGAGGGACAGAGAAATCAAACCTGGGTTGGCCAAGTGCAATAAAATGTAAATAATAAAAATAAAACTTTTTTTATTATTTATCCCACTGCTGTCTGCATTGGGGATGTAGGGATGAACAGGGCAGTGGGTAACCTCTGTGCTCTTGAGGTGAAAGGGAGTGTGGATGACTGTCATTGTCACAAACATGCTATTCTGCCATCCCAGTCCCTCCTAGATTGGCACCTAGAAATGTCTTTCTCTACCCATTTTCCATTGCACAGATGGATGAATTTTTCAGTTTCCCTTCTAATGCAATCTATGGTGGTCCCAGAGGGGAATGAAGTGCTATAGCCTTACCCTCAGGCTGTAGGATTCTGTCATCATTATTCCATTCCTAAATTGTTGGTGATAGTTATCAGTGAGCAAGTAAAACACAAACAATAGCCTAGTAATCATCTTGTTGACATCATTTCTGGGAACTTTGGGATGTCATTAAATAAATCTGTCCACCTGGAGAAAACAGTGATCCCTGATTCTGAGTAAGACTGAAGCCCGGTTGACTATTTAAGCACAAGCTATTCTGTCTACGACAGATCACAGGATATATAATTAAATCAAAGCATGTGTGCTAGAACTGAGATTTTGTATGAGTGAACAGACAGAGAAATTGTCTGAGATATATATTGGAAGAGAGAAAGAGTGGCAAGGGCAAGTCAAATGTCAGGTGGAGTAGCCTGTCAAGGAAGTCGAACAGTAGCAGTTAAACACTCCATGACAAGGGCATCTGGGAAATAGCAACAACAGGGAACTGGCTGGGATCAGTGTATATTCAAAAAAGCATGTAGTAGGCAGTAGGAAACTTTGACTAAAAGAAATTGGGAAATCAGATGTAGGAGTGTGCTTTAATCTTAGACTCTAGTTTTCCATTATAATAATGACAATAATAAGGAGTTACCCTAGTCTGAGAAGGTAAAGGTAAAGGTAAAGGCCCTCCCGTTGATCGTCGATTTGCTCGAGCGGGCCCAGTAACGTCTCCATTGGAGACTTTGTTGTTACTGTGTCTGGCTGAACACATTATTATCTTCAGAATGAAATTTCTAGAATTTTGAGGTCAAGTCCAATCAGATATAGCAACAAGTGTGTGCAGAGCCACTGATGTTCGTAACTCATCCATCCTTTGGTGAAGGACCAGTGGAACTATTCCCATATTTAGGGTAGAGCGAAAGTGCAGTCAGTTCTCTGCCCTCCAGTCTTCATTCTGGTCCCACCATTGGCTTCTCTGCCACCGTGTTCCACTGGCCTCTGAGACATCTCATGGCATTGCTTTGCACCACAGTTTTATCTGAAGTTTGACTCTTTATTGATGAAGTATCTTGCAATGGAGTAATTCTCTGCATCCAGATACCATAAAACTATTAGGACTCTTTGAACTGACAGAGAGAAAAAGACCATAAGATTGTTTAAACTATCAGGTTCACGCAAGATGATAGCCATTGTTGTGAAAACTCATATTCTTTAGTAAGGAAATATAGGTTAAAACGAAACTACTTATATTTATCCATAAACATGGTGATTTTATGTTAATTGTGTATTAACTAGATAAATGATAGATTTATTAAATACCATATCAACATGGAATATATTTAGGCTAAATGTACAAAGTAATAAAAATAATATGCAAAACCTTTTTCTTTTTACTTTTATTGTTGTTTTTGCTTGTAGGGTTTACCCAGTGGTGATCAAGGGTTACTACCAATCAGCTCAGTACTGGGGGTCATTTCTAACAGTGCTCAGACAGCCATGTAGTGCCATGGGGGATGGAACCTCCTGCATACAGAGCATGTATGCCAACCTACTGAGCTGTCTTTCTTGCCTACAAAATTAATAGCACAGCGGGTAGGGCGTTTGCCTTGCAAGCGGCCAACATGGCCGACCCGAGTTCAATTCCTCCGCCCCTCTCGGAGAGCCTGGCAAGCTACCGAGAGTATTCAATATGCCAGACACAGTAACAACAAAGTCTCCAATGGAGACGTTACTGGGCCCGCTCGAGCAAATCGACGATCAACGGGAGGGCCTTTACCTTTTACCTTACCATAAATTTTATAGGAATTGATAGTAAATGGAAGTCTGGAAGAAAAGGAAAATCTGATATTTTATAATAAGCATTTGACAGAATATATGATACATGACAAAATGAATGATATCAGGCTAAAAGGAAGTAATAGCTCTATATATAATTAAATGACTTGTCAAGAATCATGTGGACAAAGAGGAACTCACAAGTTGAGGCTGTATCATTCACAATGTCTTGATTAGGCTTAAACATACTGGGTTAGATAAGATATTTTTATTTTCTGACTTTCTTTGCGTGCATCAAAAGTATTGAGACCCCCACAGTACTTAAATGTAGTTATAGCTATTAATAGGCATTAAAATAGAACTTTTAATAAATACATTTAGCATATTTATATATCACGGTCTTCCCGTCGTTCATCGATTTGGTCGAGCGGGCCCAGTAATGTCTCCATTTTGAGACTTGTTGTTACTGTGTCTGGCATATCGAATATGTCACGGGGAGCTTGCCAGGCTTTGCTGTGTGGGCGAGATACTCTCGGTAGCTTGCCGGGCTCTCCGAGAGGGGCGGAGGAATCGAACTCAGGTCGGCCATGTTGGCTGTGTGCAAGGCAGACGCCCTACCGAAGTAATTCCTTTATATATTTATATAGTCATATTTTTAATTCTATACAACATAATTTTTTCAAAAATACAACTGTCTTCCCATTGTTCATCGATTTGCTAGACTGGGCCCAGTAACATCTCCGTTTTGAGACTTGTTGTTACTGTGTTTGGCATATTGAATACGTCACAGGTAGCTTGCCAGGCTTTGCCGTGTGGGCGAGATACTCTCGGTAGCTTGCCGGGCTCTCCGAGAGGAGCGGAGGAATCGAACCTGGCTTGGCCGGGCAGGCTGCACGAAGACAAATGCCCTACCACTGAAAAATGAAATTCTTTTACAACTCTAATGACTCCTGTAAAAGTATTCAATTTCCTGTAGTAATAATGATACTTTAATCTCTGAAAAACAAGCCTACACTTGTAAAATAGTACAAATTTAAAAACTTAATATTAGCATGAGAGACAGGGACGAATGGAGATGCTACTGGTGCCCACTCGAGCAAATCGATGAATAACGGGATGTCAAGTGATCAAGTGATCAATATTAGCATAAAATGAATGACTTATGATTTAGACAGAATCACATTTAGAATTGGAGCTATTCATTAGGAAAAAATTTTTACTTTAAATATAATTTAGTTGGGATGTGACTCAGTGATGGAGCATTTGACTTGCATGTGTGAGACCCCGGGTTTGAGTCTCAGCAATGAGTTTCCTTGCAAAATAAAGGCTAACAAGTGCTTCATGCCTGTGAGAAAGCTCAAAGGGCTAGAGCACATGTTCTTTACATAAGAACCCCAAGTTTGGGGTTGGAACGATAGCACAGCAGGTAGGACGTTTGCCTTGCACTCAACTGACCCGGTTTCGGTCCCCCAGGCACCACCAGGAGAAATTCCTGAGCACGAAGCCAGGAGTAACCCCTGTGCATTGCCAGGTGTGATGCAAAAAGAAAAAAAAAAAGAGGCCCAAGTTTGGGCCCCAGAAATACCTGATTCCCTCAGCACTGAGTCAGGATTAGCACCTGACCACCACTGGGTGTGACTCATCCAAAAATAAATAAATATAAGCAAAAAAAAAATAGAGAAAATGTAGAATTATGTTTTAGCTTTGTTTAAAATTTACACTTTAAGATTGTGATCATTTTTGGCATTTTTACAGTAAGCATGACTCTTTGAAGCTTATGGTATCTCAAATTCTTTGTAATTTTATCACCTTGACCCTTTTGATCTACCTAATATTTTAGAAACTAATTACAAGAGTAACTTAAATTTCCACACCCTTCTTTTTAGGACTTGCCTTTTAAAATACAGAATTTGAAGTTGCCCTTTGTCTCCTTTTCAAATAGAAATTTGGTGCATTCTATTTCTTGTAACTACTGGAGTTAATGCCAGCATAACCTTGCTTTCTATTATGTATTTTTTTTCTTTTTTTCTAGGTCTACCAAAAGCAGCTGTAATTACTCAGCTGCAGGTTTTAAAAGGCTCTGCTGGACTATGGGCTTTTGGTTGCTCTCCCGATGATATCATTTATATAACTTTGCCTTTGTATCACAGTTCAGGTTCTCTTCTGGGAATTGGTGGATGTATTGAATTAGGTAAGATTTGGTTTTTGTTCGATACATTATGAGGTTTGGGGGTTTTCTGGGAGATGTACATGGGTGGGGGCGGTGGGTCGCCACATTCAGCACCACACTCAGCAGTGCTCATAACTGGTTCTAGCTCTGCAGTCAGGGATCACTCTTGGCTGTGCTCAGGGGACCAAATGTGGTGCCGATTGATGATCAAGCCAGGGCTGGCTGCGTGCAAAGCTAGCACCTTAACCACTCCCTCTCTGGCTCTGTGTGCTAGGTCTTTTAAATGCCTGATGATTGAAACTTATGTTTGAAACTATAGCAGTAGAATTCAGAGTGGTTGTGTATGTTTGCTTAATTAGAATATTTTCTAAGAGAACATAATTTCATGACCTGTTCAGTGTATTTCTGAAGTAGAAAGAGCAGTGCCCTGGGAATTTGGTCCTAGGGTGGGATCTCACTGCTGACTGGGCTTCCCTCTGCATGGTCTCATTCTTCTGTGCCCTTCCCCCATCCCTGCCTCTGCTCTCTAGATGGTGGCAGGAGCCTTTCTGGGGCTGGGTGGAGGGACTGGAAGTGGCCTAGAAAAACCTGGACCGGCTGTGTGTCAGGCCAGCGCCCTGCCTGCCCTACTCTCTGTCTGGCCCTTCGTGAAGTTTCTTGTTGGTGTTCTCTCACTCAATATACCTTACTCTCACCCTCAAGATATATTGAAGCTGCTCCAAAGTTTCGAAAATAAACAATCTGTGTATATTCAAGTCAAAATAAATAAGTATTTCCGATCTTTGTGAGGAAGGAAGGCCCTTTGCAGTGGTCGTGCTCTGAGACTTGTGAGTCTTCTACTTCTTTGACTACTTCTTTCATTCTACATGCTGCAGAGGGGATATGTGCAGTGCAAATACAAAATTTCAGTGTGGATCCTTTCTAAAGCATTGTCGGACTACAAGGTTAATGTTTTCAAATGAATCTGAGAAAAATGGATAGTGATAGATTATAAAAAGACTCAGAAAGTGAGCAGAAGTACTTTAGAGTCCCTTGTGCTTTACATTGATTCTGCCCTGGATTTACCACGCCCCGCCTCCCTGCCCCGAGTGCCTCTGTTGAATTTTTTTTTTCTCACAGGAGCTACTTGTGTGTTAAAGAAGAAGTTTTCAGCAAGCCAATTTTGGAATGATTGCAAGAAGTATAATGTGACCGTGTTTCAGTATATTGGAGAACTCTGCCGCTACCTTTGCAAACAACCTAAGGTAAAAGTTACTGTTACTAGAGAGAAGTTATTTCAGATAGAAAAAGTAATGTTTATGGCTTTTTATTAAGCGTGTGTTCTCTTTTGAAGATATATTTCTCCTTTTCTCTTTGTGGCTTTTCCCACTCTGGAGATGTCTGTGTCCTCTCTTGACACATAATGCTTTCTCTTTCTCTGTCTCTTACAATAGAAATTATTTTGCTTCACTATTAAAAAAATTTTTTAAAGTAATGTTTGTGGGTATCTCACTTTCTGCAGAAATCAGTTTAGCTAACTTAAATAAAATAAAATAAATGTGAAACAAAGCAGAGAAAATATAAAGAACAACCTAAGAAGGTGCTTGGGGACTTTCTCTGGTGAGGGTAGAACAGACCCACACTCCCATCCATTTCAAACTTGAACTGATTAAAATTTCTGTAAACATAAAATGAATCTTATTATTAAGTTTGATGCAAGCTATTTTTACGAAACGAGTCATTCCAAAATCTAGGTAGCAATTTTTTTCTGCTTTTTGGGTCACATCCAGCATTGTTTAGGGGTTACTCCTGGCTCTGCACACAGGAATTATTCCTGCTGGGACTTGAACCAGGGTCATCCACATGCAAGGAAAACTCCCTACCCACTGTACTATCGTTCCAGCCCCTAGATCACTGTCACTATCACTCCCATTCATTGATTTGCTCAAGCGGGCCCAGTAACATTGTGAGACTTGTTACTGTGTTTTGCACTGTAGCAAGGTAGCACTGTCCTCCCATTGTTCATCAATCTGCTCAAGCGGGCCCAGTAACGTCTCCATTGTGAGACTTGTTGTTACTGTGTTTGGCATATTGAATACATCACGGGGAGCTTGCCAGGCTTTGCTGTGCGGGCGAGATACTCTCAGTAGCTTGCCGGGCTCTCTGAGAGGGGTGAAGAAATCGAACCCAACTCAGCTAGCCGGCTTTGCACAAGCTACCTACCGGCTGTGCTATCGCTCCAGCCCTACTGTGTTTTTGGCATATCTAATATATCACAGGTAGCTTGCCAGGCTTTGCCATGCGGACAAGATACTCTCAGTAGCTTGCTGGGCTCTCTGAGAGGGGCGAAAGAATCGAAGGCGGAATCAAGCTCCAGTCAGCCAGGTAGGCCAAATACAAGGCAAGCGCCCTACCCACTGTTTTATTGCTCCAGCCCAGCCCCTAGATAACATTTTTAAGTGTTATAAAAAAGCTTGTCTTTTTTTTTAAGCACTGTGATTCATATGGTTGTTTACAATAGATTTTCAAGCATATAATGTCCCACCTCCATTTCTCTAGTCCTTTTCCCCATTCTTCTGCTGTGTGTCACAGTTTCCCTCCCACCCCACAATCTCACTTCTTGATTGTTACTTTTTTAAGTGTAACTATAGTTCAGGTTCCATTCTTATAATAGTGTTGGATGTCGTTGGATATATACAGATACATCACAGAGGGGACCAAGGCCAGTGCCCCTCATCCCTATGTTAAAGGTAAAGGTAAAGGCCCTCCCGTTGATCGTCGATTTGCTCGAGCGGGCCCAGTAACGTCTCCATTGGAGACTTTGTTGTTACTGTGTCTGGCATATCGGATACTCTCGGTAGCTTGCCGGGCTCTCCGAGAGGGGCGGAGGAATCGAACTCGGGTCGGTCATGTTGGCTGCGTGCAAGGCAAACGCCCTACCGCTGTGCTATCGCTCTAGCCCCTATGTTACTCCCTATGTTACTTCCAACTAAATAACATGACCATTCTTCCCTTTTTCCCTTTAAGGAATTACATTAGAATATCTTTTTGTTTGGTTTTGCTTTAAGTGTGAAAGATAAGTTTTGCTTCCAGTTGCACTCATCTCGCCTTCTAGCCCTGTTTTTTTCACATGCTTTTGAACCAGTCTTTTCCATCTGCAAATAAATAGCAGAAAGAGTTTCGGTGGCTGAAGTTTGTCTATTCCTTTGTTTGCTTTTCTGCACTTCAGAAGTTATTTTCCTTTTCCCGGTCTCACTTATGCTTTAAAAATTGCTAATTTTCTCAACATTCTTGAAGCTCCATAGAAATGTCTCATCCTACACTCAAATCAACACCAACCCTTACAGAATGGTGAGAGTGGCTGCCTTATCCGCTGGGGTAGGAGCAAACCCCCGACCTGCCTTTGGCCTTGGTGAAGCACTCAGAGGTCCTTACTCAGCAGCCCCGCTGGCACCCCACCATCTGAAGGCGGACATGGTGTATTGGGATTCTGCTCTGTGACTTCTGGTTACCATTTGGACACAGAATTCCTTCTGTGCTTACCCGCAGCACGGCTGATCCCACTGTAGGCACTGAAACAAGACTATTCTAATGATTGAAGATTGCACAGGGGAGATCACACATAAAAGGCTGTGAAACTTAATCATTTGATTTGCAATATGCTTTTATTCACTTTTGGTTTGAGTTGCCCAAGGAGGAGAGCCCTCCTGAACTTTCTCCCTGTGGCAGGACTCATCCTCTTGTTCCTTGTTGGGAGAATATCCACAGCCATAAATGCCCACGCTTCATCACTAAGACAGAAAATTCCTTTTATTTCTGTTTTTTTTTAAAAATATAGTGTTTCATTCTGCTTTGGGTAACATGGTTACAATAGTATTAGTCACTCCTTCCTTGCTCCCCACGCCTCCTCTCCACTGCTTGGTGCTGAGCTTTGTCATTCAAGGCCAAAGGTTTGTCATTGTTCAATAATCTTTTTCTTTGAGGAGACTGCTAGTATCCGGCTTGGAGTCTTACCCGAAAAGCCCTGAAAAAACAGTGATAATGCCAAAAGCTTATTGTTTGTCCCCCCTAGTTTGATTGTATTTTTTGGTGATGTAATGATCAGAACTAGGGTACCTTAAGGAATTATTGCCCTCCACTGACATACAAGCCACTTTCAATAAAAGACACCAAAGGTTGTACCCAGGACACTTTTTCATGGCCTTTCTGAATCAGGCTTCCCACCATTTCTGTTGTTCTGGGAGAGCAGTATTAGCTCTGAAAAGCTTATTTTCTCATTTCTGAAGTTCTGCTAGCTGAGATCAAGCTGCAATTAGTGTCTTCAGATATTTTAGCATGTGTAGGGTCACACAGAAGTGAAGTTGGTGGAAGGATGTTGGATAGTTTTGTAATTTTTAAAAGTGTCCTAGATTGGTGTTCAAAGTGATTGGCATGATTTTGAATCTCATCAAGGATGTGGGGTATGCTTATTTGAGACTTACCTGCATTGCGGGGTATGAAAAATAGTGTAGACTTTCACTTGTACTTCCAGGATAACAGGACACTCCTTCCAGCCCCTCAAAAGTCCCTTAAGATGAATAATAGGGAAAATAGGCCAATATTTATATTATTCCCCTTTAAACACGGTGCTTAAAATCCAAATTTTTCTTCTTTCTTTTCAAATAAGTTTTATCTAATTTTGTATGCAATTGTAGCACTGTAGCACTGTCCTCCCGTTGTTCATCGATTTGCTCGAGCATACCCAGTAATGTCTCCCTCCTGTTACTTATTGTTACTGTGTTTGGCATATCGAGTACATCACGGGTAGCTCGCTAGGGTTTGCCGTGCAGGCGAGATACTCTCAGTAGCTTGTCGGGCTCTCCGAGAGGAGCAGAGGAATCAAACCGAGGTCGGTGGCATGCAAGGCAAATGCCCTACCCGCTGTGCTATCTCTCTAGCCCATAAGATATGTGTGAGGCAATACACTTGCCTTGGATTAAATGTGTTTTTCATTAGATATCCATTTTTAGCTTGCTGGGCTTTCTCAGAGGGGTGGAGGAATCGAACCCGGCTTGGCTGGGCTGGCTGTGTGTAAGGCAAATGCCCTACCGCTGTGCTATCGCTCCAGCATGTATGCAATTAATTTTTAAAATTTTCATTTACCACTGTGATTTTTTTAAATTACTGTTAATAGTAACTTTCAGGTGTACACTATTGCTACATCCTACCTACTGGCATAGTGTCAGCCACCATCCACCACTATCTCTTGGTCTGTCCACCCCTCCACTTAGCAAGGAGTTTTGTAGGTAAGCTCTCAAGATTGTTTTTTTTTTTTTGACCAGTGTCTGTTCCCCTTGCTGAGTTTCCTTACGCTCCACTCATGAGAGAATGTTCCATTCAGCATTTGTCCTTCTATTTTTGTTACACTTTTCCAGTAATACCCCCCAGTTCCATCCATAAAGCAGCAAAAATTTCATCTTAACTTATAGCCAAATAGTATTCCATTGTGCTTATCAGTCACAGTTTTTTTTATCCACTTGTCTGTTCTTCAGCACACAGGTTGTTTCCAGATGTTGGCTATTGTGAGTAATGCTGCAATGAACATGGAAATGAATTATCTTTTTGAATAATTGTTTTCATACTTTGAGTGTAGTATTTTGAGTGTACTTTGACAAGAAGTTGAATCCATGATCTTCATAATAATACTTTGCTTGATCAATGAATACACGTGTTTTGAAATGGGAAAATATATAAATTTTTTTTGCAATTTTGTAGACTAGAAACAAGCATTTTTGCTTCCAAAACTTTTGTTTCTCATTTAAAATGTCTCTTCTGAATATTTTATGCATTTATTTATTTGACACATGCTTTTATCTATTTCAACTTTTATTTCACCTAATGAAGATATTAATAATTTGTTATATTTACTACAAGGTGTGTTCCTTTACATTTTTTAAAAATTTTTAAATTTTTTTAATCTTTTAACTTTTGAATAGAAGAAAAGCATCATAGCTACAGAGTATTTGAGAGAACCAAAAATTGACAATGGAATTCCTGACTACTCTTAGTTTAAGTAAATATTTTAATTTTTAATAAAATTTCTTTGAATATAAGATTTTTTTGTGAAAAGAAAAATCACTAAACATTTACCTGAATGTAAACTGAAGAGGAGAGAAACAAGCAGAGCTCTCCCCCAAGGAGAACAATAATTATTGAAAGCAGAGATGCATCACATTGCCTAATCCCCTTCACTGATTTTGTAGAAAACAGTACAAGCAGTTCTTGA